TAGATTATATGTGCAGGTCTTGAAAAACAGAAACAGGCGTCAGTGTTACAGATTTGTTCACATGGGCCTGGATGTTTGTCTGAGGCCACAGGTTGTACTACAGACATTTCTATCAGCAGTTGAGAGCCTTATGAGAATATGTCTCAAAAATAATAAGAATAATGACAAAAAAGAGGTAAGAGGATATTCATCACCCTAAGAACCTTTTCAAAGGCAGTGTCAGCCTTGTAATTCAAAACAGCTTCAGAGCGGAATGCCTGAAAGAAGGATTGCAAACAGAGGTATGCAATAGTGAGTGTTTCTGGTGGTCTCTGTCTGGCTCACTTTTCTTCCTGTCACTCTGATGCACAGTTTACAGATTGTCTCCAACTGTGTCCACTCACCACCTGACAGACCCGATTCCCCTTACCTTCTCTTGTCCCCCAACATAGGAAGTACAGATGGGAGTGAATAAATATAAGGAGTGCATATGAGATGAAAGGAAGTCTCATAGTGTGAGAAGTGCTCTCATGAAATGCATGGTAGAACCCCATAAGAAGCATGTATGTGACCACTGAAAACAAAATAATTTTAATTCAAGGGGTTCTTTTTTAAAACCTCTGCCAGTTAATGGTTGTGCATACATAGGTCCTGCCTACTAAGAGATTATATATAGCAGGTATGGGCAAACCCAGGCCTGGGGGCCAGATGTGGCCCCTTGGGCTGTTTTCTCAGGCCCTCTTCTCTAACCATCTTATCCTTCCTTACTCCTGCCATCCTTCTTTCTCCTTCCCTTCCACCCTTTCATCCTTCTTCTCTTTCCTTTCCTCTTTCCCTCCCTCACCTCCTTGTTTCTCCCCCCTTCTTCCTTCCCTTCCTTCCTTCCTTCCTTCCTTCCACACTTCCCTCCCTTTTTATCTTTCCTTCCTTCTTTCCCTCCTTCCTCCTTACCTCCCTCTTTCTTCTTCCATCCTTCCCTTCCACTCTTCCATCCTTTATTCCTTCCCCCTCTCCCTCCCTCCCTTCCTTCCTTCCATCCATCCATCCATCCATTCATCCTTCGCTCCCTCCCTTTTGTCTTTCCTTCCTTCTTTTTCCTTCCTCATTACCTCCTTCTTTCTCCTTCCATCCTTCCCTTCCACCCTTTCATCCTTCCTTCTTTTCTCCTCTCCCTCTTTCTCCTTCCTTCCCTTTTGTCTTCCCTTCCTTCTTTCTCTTTTTCTTTCCTCCATCCTTTTCATCCTTCCTTCTTTCCCCTTTGTCTTTCCTTCCTTCTCTCTTTTCTTCCTCCTCCCCTCCCTCCCTTCCTTCCATCACTGGGCAGCCAGTCCTCCTAGCAGGGAGTGCTAGCATGCGCCCCCCTAGTCAGAATGTTTGCCCATGCCTGTTATATAGCATGCAGCTGATAGTTCAGCAGATTGGGCAGAAATTTGATGCTCTTTATTCTAAGAGAGTTTCAGAGCTGAACTTTAAGGATACAGCTTTTGTGGCATATGTCCTCCAAGTCCAGTTCTCCCCCTCCTTTCAGCAATGGAATTTTAATGGACCCTAGTTTGTATTGATCATTTGAGAACTAAGCTGTTTGTAAAGCTGATCTCCATAGGTGGGCATGAAATAAGAATATTCGGATGGGATTATTCATGAACATAGTGATAAACAGAATAACATTGTCTGGAACAAGCATGTAACAGTGATCCACATCTATATCTGTGTGGATGTCTAAATCTGAATGCACAAAATTTTAGAAATTGTTGAAAGCTAGTGCCCTTAATATGGTTGATCTAATAAAAGACAAGCAGGCTATGTTCCTTCAGGGAAGGATTAAGATCAAACAACTGTCGTGTACTAGGATTGTATTTTGATGTAAAGAAATAGCTGGTAAACTAAATAAGCAACTTCCCATCTGGTTAAATGACAGCCTTAATTTGATTAAAGAACACTGTTCCATGTTTTTCTTCTAGCTATTCATTTGCTAGAAACATGCTGTTAATTCAAGGTCCAGCAGCAGTTAAATAACATAAAATAAAATGCCAATTTCAGTGAAAGGGCTTAATTATATCAAGCCGTTTTAGCTGTTACAGTATAAATAATACCTAAAATATTATCCTAAAGACCAGCTCTTAGTGCTTTTAAGATAACGTCCCTGGAGTGGAATCCAACAAACAGTATTATGGATCAAAAGGGATTTTAACTTCTGAAGCATTATAGTCGTAAGGTCAAACAAGTTTTAACAATTTGATAATTACTCATTGAATTGCTATTATTTTTCCTACCGTATCGAACTAACCCACTAATCATTCTCACTTGCCCCCTGAGTGGGATGGGTTGTACCCCCGAAGCAACTCTCACAAAGGAGCAAAATGGTGCGAGGTAGCAAGAATACCCCAGGGAAGCTGATTCATTAAGGTCCTATACTTTCTAGAGCAGACAAACAGCACAACATACTTATAGCCTACTTCAACTTTTATACTATTCATGCAGGCTAAAATTGATTGCTACAAATGACTTCCAATTCAAGAGAAAGATATTAAGAGGACATAGCTGATCCTTATTTTACAGTTGCTTTTGTAAAGAATTAAGTTCTATAAATAATACATTTTTTCATAAACAAATACCAACAATATAGTTTTTTTAAAAAATAAAGCATCCTGAGCGAAATGTGTGTCTAAGGACACTGATTAAAGCTGAAGCTTTACTTAGAAAAGGCCAACCATAGGTGATGTGACATGGCTTTAAGATTGTTGGGTATGTGCTGTGGTGGCTTATTAGGAGGTATAGAAAAAATTACTCCTAGGTCTCATGTACAATAATAATATAATAAAATTGTATTTCTAACCCACCCTCTCTCCCTAGAGCAGTGGTGCTCAATCAGTGGGTCCCCAGATATTTTGGCCTTCAACTCCCATAAATCCTAACTACTGGTAAACTGGCTGGGATTTCTGGGAGTTGTGGGCCAAAATACCTAGGGACCCACAGGTTGAGAACCACTGCCCTAGAGGAACTCAGGACAGCTTACAGAAAACAAAAACAACAGTGGCAAACATTCAATGCCATAAATGCAGTTGCTTGTCTTTGGTTTAATGCAGTGGTTCTCAACCTGTGGGTCCCCAGATGTTTTGGCCTTCAACACCCAGAAATCCTAACAGCTGGTAAACTGCCTGGGATTTCTGGGAGTTGTAAACCAAAACACCAGGGGACCCACAGGTTGACAACCACTGGTTTAATGGGTGGTAATACTGTTAGTGGATAATATACCTCGGAGATAGGAATTAGCCAAGTTGGTATTAGAAGAATTAAGTATCCAGGTAAGTAGATATCATTTGAAACTGCAACCATATGAAAGTTGTCTTTTGTGCCTAACTCATAACAGTGTTTCATTATGAAAAGTATCAAGATTTGCACTAAAAATATCCTCATTCAATTAGGAGCCTTTTCCAAGTATTCTGGCTTCTTTCATGTTTCACACTCAGATGCATAAAGGGATTCCATTGATAGATTGTACAGTAATATGAAAAGAATACATCTTACATCAGTTATGTGAGGATAGCCATTCAAGTGAACATTTTGAGGAGGGCCTGTCAAGCATCTGGTTTAGCTTTAAATAGTCTATGATTAACACCTTATTTATTCAAGCTGGAATAGAAGGAAACCTGACTGTAGCTTATAATGTTGCAGCTGGTGTGCCCTAAGGGAAACACAAAAGAGTTCTTTTAAACATCACTTCCAAAGAATTTGATCATAGGCAACTTAAAAGTAAGCTCATGTGAAAAGTGGGCAATGGCCTTTGCTTATAAAAAATTCAGTTATTAGTGTCACTAGATAATTACCTCCACTATGGGGAAAAAGTTTATGACTTAGGAATCCAAGAGTAGCTCAGTGCCATTTGTACACCAGTACTGGGTTCAGCCTGATTCGGGGGCACCCACAACTGTTTTAAAATACATGTGTGTTATGTGGAGATAGATAAATATATATAATATTGTTGTTGTTTATTCGTTCAGTTGCTTTTGAGTCTTTGTGACCTCATGGACCAGCCCACACCAAAACTCCTTGTTGGCCATCACCACCCCCAGTTCCTTCAGAGTCAAGCTAGTCACTTCAAGGATACCATCCATCCATCTTGCTCTTGGTTGGCCCCATTTCCTCTAATTGCTGATCTTATCATTTAGGTTTCATTTTCTCTTTAATCCTACAGTAGAGCCTCGCTTATCCAATCTTCACTTATCAAACAATGTGTATTATCCCACCCGGATCCACAGCTGTTTCAATACATTACGATGTTTTGGTGCTAAATTCATAAATACAGTAATTACTACATAACGTTACCGTGTATTGAACTGCTTTTTCTGTCGATTTCTTGTAAAACATGATTTTTTGTAAAACATGATATTTGTAAAATCAAAACATAATTTGATGTTTAATAGGCTTTTCCTTAATCCCTCTTTATTATTATTTTGCTTATCCAATGTTCTGCTGGCCTGTTTATGTTGGATAAGCGAGACTCTGCTGTACTTATGAAGGAAGCAATCGTGGCATGGAACTATAGTAATGCAACAGTACCTGAAGTGGATGGTTCAGGGTTGGGGTGGATCCATAACATTTCGTTTTCTGAACCATTTCACTGATCTATGCCATGAAAATATTATAAAAAGTATTTAAGTGTACTTTGGGCAAGTTTGGATGTTACAGGTTCCTGGTTTATAACCGGAATTGGATTTTTGAACAGTTTTGATATATAACAGTTTGCTTCATAACTGATCTTATGCCACTAAGTCCAAAGTTGTGGTTAGATTAACAAAAACCAAATAATATTTCTCATTCTTTTTACCAGTGTATGCTTTAAGTAGATACCACATCATTCAATATTGGTTTAAAGTGCTCCTCCCACTCTAGGACTTCATAGTTAAGCAGATATTTAAAACCTGATCTCTCAGAGTCCTAACCTAAGACCCTGTTCCCTACACTCTGGTTAGATTCCCACAACAAGCCAAGTTATTTGGTATTTTACTCATTTTTTTCAGATGGGAAGGATTATGCTAGAGTGCTACCCTCTGAAGAATATGTTCGTATTGGTGATATATGTAAGTAATAATTGCATCAGAATTTCCAAATTTGGAGGCCACTTAAATGAACAAAAATTGAACAATACACTCTCCTTTCTATTAGCTAAATGAATAATCTGTGTTAATGGGAGCCAAGTTGATATATTATCTATATCTGTAAGTATTAGAAGTAGCCTCTCACGACAGTGATATTTGGCTTTATTAACGACATTTGAAAAGGTGATTAATATTATTTCACTAAAGGTTGGGGTTCTATTTCATATTAGATTGTCCACATCCACGTATTACTATTTTCCATAATTTAATTTCATCTTTATTTATAACTACCAGTGCTCAATCCAGTAAAAATGATGCTAAAATTTAGCATTAAGAGGGTAAATATTCTCTTCTTAGAATAACACTCTCAAAAACAATGGTAGCATAATGGATCTGCGAGGCTTGATCAGTTAAACAGCCTGACATCAAGAAAAACTACCTTTTCCATAAAACCAAGAATTGGCAGAATCATTGAATGGCTTTAATTTAGAAAAGGTCTGCAATCAAATTTGAAGTGTTTACCAAAGTGTACAAGGTATATTGAGAAATAAGCCTCTCTCCTTCTTGAGACAGCAAGAATGGAATAGTTGAAATTTTTCAGCATTTTGTCTCTGTAAGCTAATAACTTTGGGCATATCTACATCGGCCACATACTACACATTTGGCTGGCATCCACACAATATTCAGGGACATCCAGCCCCCAACAGGAGTAAACTGGTTATACTGATTTTACCCCACATTATCAGAAGTTGGGAAATTGAGAGTAGCCCCACACTTCAGAGTTGATGTGAACAACTGGGTCAATGCCATAAGCTCATTTGGGGAAACGTGGGATGGCATTTACTTTTTGTGTCATTTGTCACTGTGGTAGCAGTCACAAAACTCCAGAGAGCTCCTTGTTGTTGTTGGGCGTCTTTGCTGGTACTTGTGAAAGGAAGGGGGAATCACCATCAGCAAAGGTAGCTGGTACTAGCTAAATGATTCCTGAAGCTCCATGGTGACAAATGACAAAAAAGATAAGGCTGACCATCCATTGGGGCTAAACCAGAACAGATGCAGGCAGTATAGATGGGCCCTTTGTCATCCTCTGATCACAAAATTAGCCACACTTGAGGTTTTTTATTAATTAGTAGTAATGTTAAAAGTTCTGTTGCTCAAAGGCAGGTTCAAAAACTGCTCAGGAGCCTTTGTTAACTGTACATTACAACCCCATATGAATGAGGGATACATTTCAAGATCCACTATGGATATCCGAAACTATGAATAACAGTGAGCACTATATTTTGACTATGAATAGTAATAATAATAATAATAATAATAATAATAAAGGTGGGATACAACATAATTGAAACAAGAGATAAAACACTATTAAAAGACATACAACATAATACACAAAGTTAAAATACAACTTAAAATTTACTGATAAAATGCAGATTAAAATTCACAACTTAAAATTGACTAGGTAGGCTTGCCAGAAGAAATAAGTCTTCTATTTTGTCTTAAATTTCAACAGCTGATCTAGCTGTTGAATCTCCTCTTGCAGGTTGTTCCACAGTCTTGGGGCAGCTGATGAAAAGGTCTTCTGAGTGACGGTTGCCAGTCAGGTTTCGGCGGGCTAGAGTAGACACCCCCCACAGGACATCAGTGTTTGGGGCAGATTGTACTTTAGCTAGAACCCTACCATAGAATCTCACTGAAGAACCTAGAGCAAACATGTCCGAAGTCCGGCCCAGGGCCAATTGCAGCCTCTGTTCAAATTTCTACCAGCTCTCTCACGCCTAGCGTCCCTCCCTCCATTCTTTCTTTCCTCCCTCCCTCCCATTCTTGACTTCCTTCCACTTTTTGTTTGTTTGTTCATTCCTTCTTGGGAATCGGACCCAGAAAAGGTGGGCTCCTCGGGAGGAGAGAAAGAGGCCTCTTCATCCCTTCTCCCCAACTAAGTGGTACCTTCTTCTTGGATGGCTCTGGCCTTGGGCATCCTGTCCCAGTGGCCCCTTGTTTCTCTCTCTCTTCCCTCCTCAACTTTTTCTTTCTTTCTTTGGAAAGGAAGTCTCCCAAATTTCCCTGCTTGCCCCAAGTGCTTGCTGCTGCTGCTTAATGGTTGGGAAAGGTGGGCCCTGAAGGCCCAGCTCCTCCCTGGCTTCCCTTCCTCCCTCCTTTCCTTCTCTGCCCTATCTACATCCCACATCACTGCTCCCCATTTTCCAGAAAGGTTGCCCTTTGCTGCAGCTCCTCTCTTGAAAAGAAAAGGGAGGGCGAGCCAGACAGCAACTAGAACTCTCCTCTCTCGCAATCAAAGCCCTTTCTACAAGTGGCCATGCCCCCCCCCCCGCTGAAAAACCTCCTCAGGGGACTCCATCAAACGCTGAGGCAGCATATGCCATTGTCTGAAATGACTTGAAGGCACACAGCAACAATAATCCTGATTAACTTGACTCTAATCAGCCAAAAGCAGGCCCAATTCTTCCCATTGAAAGACTGGTACATTTACGCTGGTTAAAATTGTTAAACTTTTTATATATTATTCTTTCACAGGGTTTTTTACACCACAAATAAGACACATGCAGCATGCATCAGAATGTGTTCATGCTTTTTTTTTTCAAACTATAGTCTGGTCTTCCAACAGGCTGAAGGGCCATGAACTAGCCTTCAGGTTAAAAAGTTTCAACACCCCTGACTTAGAGTGACCCACAAACACTTTATCCCTGTTCCAAAAAATATCCTCCCATCCCCACGGCAGTATATTGAATCCATGGATAAGGGAAGCATATATGGTAGAATGGGCTTTACTACTGTGTAGAATCAGAAATCACTGTATGGAGCAAAATTATAAGTACTTTCTAAATTGGCAATGACATATCTGTTTGTATTTCATATTTTGTAACTTGATGTCTACCTAGTTATGTGCTAGGTTTCTGTGTATTAAATGTGGTGGTGGTATATCTGTAGTGCACATGTTTATCAATGTGAGAGTTAAAATAGAATTCCCTAGTAGCCTTTTAAAAACAGTACATACAGAAAGCAAATGCATTTGGTTCACCAGATTGCATTACCCATCTGTTATACAAGAAAGCTTAACGCTTTTTGGGTTTCTTTCAGTTATTTACTTTAATATTCTTCCTTTTGTAGAAAAAAAAGATTATCTTCTAAACAGGATTCTCCATACTAGATATACTTTACCATTTAATCCTGTTGTTGATATCCAATTCTAATTCTATTCCTCTCTCCACCCTTAATGTAATACCACTTCTCCTGGCACCGTTACATAAACATACATAGGCTTTCACTTATTATGCATGGGATAACTATTTGAAGGCATTTTCTTTTGTTGGCTCATTTTTATTGAGATATACTCCATGTGGGAATGTCTGGCTGATCAGAACCATTATTTCTAGGAACTTCACCCTCCCTGATTCATAGACAGTCTAGCATATTTAAGTGGCCATATATTATTTTCATTCCAGGAGGTGTAAGGTCAGATCAGTGCTAACCCTCTTCCTTAAGTAGATTTGTAGCAGGCCTAATAATTATAATGTAAGTGGCCTCATGAAAAGAGATAGCCTTTACAATAGATGGCTTCAGTAGAACTGTGTGGAATGTGATCTGCTTCTATAACCCTTTCCCTACTCTGACGTGGAGAAAATACCCAACCCTAAACTTTGTCCTAAGCCCAAATCACACATCCAACCCCAGGGTTTTTGGAGGAAGAATGAGCAACCTTTTCCGCAATTTTGTCAATATTTAATAAACTCTGGGGAAGATGGCTCATTGGTGCATGACAATAGGAAAAGAGAGGCATGTGCCCATTTTGCACAGAAAGAAAAGCAGTAGGATTTGGGAGAAACCCAGTAAATTCAAAACTGAGAAATTTCCACATCACTAGGAAGAGCTAAAACTAGTGTGGCATAGTGATCTGTGTGTTGTATCAGGACTCTAGATACCAGAATTTAAATTCCTACTAAGCTATGAAACCCATTGGGTGACCTTGCACAAGTCACATTCTCGCAGTCTCAGAAGAAAGCAATGGCGCAAACCTCCTATGAACAAATCTTGTGATGAAACTAATTGAAGGCACACAGCAACAGAGGATGAACATAAACCCATCTTGCTTGATGAAGATCGGAAGAGAAATGATATGCCTTCATATTTATCAGGAGCCCTGCCTTTTCTGGATTTGTGATAACATATTTAGAATACGAAGAGTATGTATGAATCTACTGCTTCCTACTTGCACATCTAATTCTTATAAGAAGAGACTTGTAGTATGAATTCATCCTGTGAGACTGATGGGCTTTTCTTCTTGAACCTACTGAATTGGTTTATGTGCTCATTTTTTAAAAGTGAGCCTGTAAACAGTAGACTACTCTGTGTGTGTTAATATAAAGGCACAATTCAATTGTGTTCTGGGATATGCATTCAGACTAATAAATAAGAAAAATAGTATTTGTATCATTAATACTGATTTTGTAATAAACTTCGAGACAATCGATCTTCTTATATATAAACATTATGGCTTCGGTAGACCTTTAGAAAAAAAATGGCTAGCAATCCCTAAAGTATGCAGGCTAGTTGCAGCTTTCCAGTCACTGTAGAGTTATAGAGCCATGGAATTGAAAGAGGGTACAACAGCCATCCAGTCCAGTCCCCTGCCATTCAAGCACTCCTGACAGATGGTCATACAGCCTCTACTTAAAAACCAAAGAGGATACTACAACACATGCCATGTTATCAAATTACACTGTGAAACAGCTCTTACCATCAGTGTGTTCTTCCTAATGTTTCAGTGGAATTTCTTTTTCTCTAATTTAAATCCATTGCTCCATGTCTTAGTCTTTGGCGCTACTGAAAACAAGTTCCCTCTTCAATTTGACATCCCTTCAAATATTTAAATATTGCTATAATGTCACCTCTTAGTCTTCTGTTCTCCAGGTTATACATACCCAGAAGCCTAGTCCCATCCTCATGGTTTGCAAACCCTTTAA